AAGCACTTTTCCGAGGTATGTGTCAGCGTGAATAAAAACTCTTACCTTTACGCTGACTGCAACTTGAAGATTCCTCTTCGGGGAGCCAATTTGACGTGGCCTCGGCGACGACGATGGAGGTGGTGATTCGCGGAAGGCCGGTCGCTAACGTATGGAGTTGAGGTTGGTGTGACGGTATAAAAACAAGAACCAAAAGAAAACACAGACGGTCACTCGGTGGATGAAATGTGGGATTGCCACGTTTATTTACTGACAATAGAATTATGCGCATACAAAAAAAATATATAGTGACATACAAAGTGTAGGCATATCACGGAGGTCGGTCAACGAGAGAGCCCGGCGGCGGCCGGTACTCGTCCTGCGCGACTTGTCTTCCCGTCCCGCCTAGCCTTTCCGGCGTGGTGCGAGAGTCGACGGTGTCGCGTCGTTGTCACCCGTGGTGGTGGTTGATAAAGTCGTAGATCGGTCGCGGCAGTGCCTGTACTTTGTACTGGCTGCTGCTGCGTACCATGTCAATATAAACAAGAACAATTAGTTTTTAATTTTTAGTTTTTTTTTTTTTAACTTTAAATTTTAAATTTAATTTATAATTAATTTTTTTTTTGACGTCCAATTGTCCCCACGTCCAAATGGCCACGTCCAAACGGCTACGTCCATTTGTCCCTATTCGTGATGATATTARCTACTTTGCCAGTAAGTGTTGCTTCCGCAGAGAGGAGTTTTTCGACGTTACGCAGGTACTCACATAAAGTTTGATAAAAAATAATTATAGAATAATTGAAATGTTATGTAATTCTTGATTATTTTTGCTTATTTATGCTTCTTATGCTTTATTGCTTTATGATTTAATGCTTATTAGATTAAAAACTTGGTTAAGAAGTCAAATTGGACAGGAAAGATTGACTGGTTTGGCACTGTTGCATGTACATTGCGATATAGAATTAGATGCATGGAAAATAATAGATCGGTTTGCAGAACACAAACGCTTTAAAGAATTTGTATTTAATATTTTAATTAGATTTTTATTGTTATTATGATTATTAACTAAAGGTTTCATATTTGTATCTTTTTTTACCTATAAATAATTTGTATGTATGAAATTTGCAGATCAAAATGACTTGACTAGCAATAAGTTACTAATTACTATGTTCATAAATTAGAATTTAATAAATTGATTAGGGTAGAACACGATTGTGTACGTTTGTYCTTTTTGGCAACACGATTGCGTATGTTTGTAGATTGGTTAAAAGTACCTTTCAGGAAAAAAAAATAAACACGATTGCGTATGAAATTGTATGCAACATTGTCAAATTTACCAATTTCATCGTATATAAAATAAATAATAATATAATATAATATGTAATAATAATMTAATAAATACCGAATACATTTACAGTTCTATAATAATAAATAAATAAAAAAAAAATAATAATAATAAAATAATAAATAAAATGGGATTAACTTAATAAATAAATAAATCGTCAATTATTATTTTAATAAAATTATCGTAAATAAATAAATAAATAAATAAAAAATATGTGAAAAAAGGACGTTGCATCAGCGTAATCGTTCTATTTACTTAATCTATACATTTACAACTTACTTGATAATTCGATTGACCAAAAAATATAATTTCATAAAATAAGACCGATTTTAATTCAGAAACAGTTAAAAATCCAAACAAGTCTCAAAAATCCAAAAAAAAGCACTAAAAGTTAAAAAAAATCATTTTTATTTCGTTCATAAGCAATCCAACGTTAATAATGTTTTTTCTTTTTTTTTTATTACAATAGGTATTATCTAAATTAAAAAAGAAAAAAACAAGTTATACAAGTATATTTTAATTTATATTTAATATATTTTTTTTAAGTTAAAATTTTATTTTSCGGGCTTTGAGCTCAGCTTAATCAATGGTTAAATATTAAATGACTATATAATATATATTATATTTCATAAAATGTTATTTAACAATATTAATTAATATAAAATAAGTATTTCTACTAAAATTTCAAAAATTACAAATAAATTTCAACGGGCCCCTGTACTCAAAGTCCATCAGACCCCCTTGTGGGGGTTCTGTATACCGGTATGAAAATTGGCAACAACGCTTAAAACTTCGTAYGCAATCGTGTAGTTAAAAAACAGGTAAAATCGTACGGAATCGTGTTGCTTAAAAAGGTATAGCCGATAACGAAAGTACGCAATCGTGTTTTACCCATTGATAATGCCTATATTATTGTTTTTTTTTTTTTTAAATTGTGTAAAAGTCGCCCCCCTCCCCTGAAAACAGCACTTGAACTTACCTAAACATAGTAATCATTGATGTTTGATGATAAATGAATACATTATTGTAAATACATTTTATAAACCAATAAATAGCTCAACATAATAAGTCAGAAATGTTTTCAAAATAGTAGAAAATACTTAAGGGAATATTTAGTGATAAATTAATGCATATATTGCATATATATTTATTACTTTATTAGTTATACAAAAAAATAAAATTAATTTTGTAAAAATCCGAAAATGCGTAAAAATTTCCGTTTTTTCACATATTAGACGAGTGTAATATGTAAATATTTATTTATAATGAACAATCAAAAAATATGTGTTATTCTAGAGTTYTTGTGATGATCGTGTTACGAATAATTGCGTATGATCTACACGGCATTGTGTAACATCGTATTAAATACGTCATGATCTTGACTCCTCTCCAGTTCACCGATCTTCTACCACCATATGATTCTGGTGGATACATATTTCTTAAATATTGTCACCTTCAGAGCCTAAGGACTAAAAATTGCATTATCGTGACAATATCAAAWATACTTACAAGGGTGAACCTTTCTACTTCACAAAATCCCATATAATAATATAATATCCTGCAATGGAATAGCATCGTCATGTTCAATCTATATGATATTGTAATATTTAGTTTCTTGATTTTCTTTATGGAATGTTAAATTCGACTTCATTTTGAGTTGAACATTACGTGTAAAATAGGTATTATAGCAGATAATTTTAAATAATGTCTAACTTACATGTCTGCTCTTACAACATTTTTAACATAAAAATAGCAATATTGTAGTTAAAATTGACTTATTTACATTTTATTTTACCATATTCTACCTTTATTTACCTATTTTTTAAAATAATTTACTAATAAAAAAATAATTACTTATATATCCACTGTTAATTATAAGATTTTATATCTTTTAATTCATGTTTGATACATTTGAAAAGGTGGATATTAAATATTTAAATAATATATTTGTTGATTAAAAATCAAAATCATAATTCTTATAAAAGAAGATAAATAAAATGAAACTATTCCACTATTGTTCAACACTATTCAAATTTAAAAACATGATTTAATCTTATTCTTTAGAAAAATGTGGTGACAATATACATTATAACCACAGATTGCATAGATCAAATACGTTTAGCATACTAAATTTATCATATACTATAATCATTTACTATTCAATAAGTAGTATGCCATAGGATTTTGTGAAATAAAKAAGTTAAAACTTCATGTATTTTTATATCGCCACTCATTTTTAAAGCACTCGGACTCTGAAGGAAATAATGTTTAAGAAATGTGAAATTTTACTTCTTTTGATCATTTTTCCACTAACACATTAATATATTATTAGATCAAAAGGATTAGTATCGAAATACATCATTAGCCTACTACTACTATCTTTGATTATTATAATATCTGTAGTAGACAGTAGTGAAATTGATTGAAAAYAAGATTTAGTTGTTATCCGTACTCATATAAGTTGTCCAAAGTGTCTGCCTAGGGCGCTCATGAAATTTTTGAAGTACACCGGCCAACTTTAGGTACATAGTATTTTTAATTTGTTAAAAATAATACATTGATTTTTAGACTTAGAATTGCTACTATAATTTATTTCATCATGCAATTTTGATGTGTGATTTTCGTCAATATTTACTATCAAAACCAAATTACAGAGCAAATTGAGACTGCATCTCAAGCTAACAAATGTTGAAGTGGATATTGATGAAGTGATAAAAAATAGGAAAAAAATATAGCCTCATTCATATTAAAATAATATTTAAAAAAAAAAATAATTAATTTAAAAATTAAAGTCCATTGATATTATCTTGAGTGACCATAACATTGTCCTAAATGGGTCGTAAATGCTGTAAATACTATACAAATTTTTTTTTTAGGAGGGAATTCAATGAACAGTGAAATTGGATGTATTGAGGTTTTTTCGGTTTTTTCGGTTTAATATGGTAGTTTCTATCATTTGCTAAACAGCGATAACTCGTTTGGGTGCAGTTTAAAAAATTTACCTGAAAATTGTTTACACGTTTGGGCGTATTTATCAAAATACTATCGGGCACAAAACTGTAATTAGTAATCGAAACATCCAAATCATCAAAATGTTAACGTATTGATCGAAATCAGAATTGAGACCAATTTAAAATCTACAGCATTGAAAGAAAAATAACTAATTAATTAAAAACAAACTGAAGAAAAACAAGTTGTAAAAAAAAATTCCTGGAAACTTTTGCAATCAAAAAAATGTTATATTGAATTACATAAAAAAATTAGGACCACGCTTTGTGAGAAAAAAAAATTAATCAATTAATATTAAAATATAAATAATATTACGCCCAAACGTTGTACGGATTTATGCCCTAAAGAGTTCTGGTTTGGGTAAATGCGTCCAAACGTATTTTTCCCAGCTAGATTGTCACTGCGAATGAATCTAGTTACGCCTACGTCCGTGCTTAAATTGGTAAAAAGTAACTAATAAAGAATACATAAAATTGTACTAATAATTTGTGTTGATTGTATAACTAATGAGTTCGGTGAAATAATCTGGTTAGTTGGAATTTCTGATATAAAATGAAGACATCTTCATAAATCTATATCAGCCATTCAATATTCAAACACTGATAATTAGTTTAGACTAAAGAACTAGGTAACAAATGTTAACGAATAGAATGTGTATAATACTATGTTACACCTCTAAAAAAATGTCGTTAGCCGTTTTCGACGCTTCAATGAACTTCATATCATATATTCTTTCATCTTCCTTATTTTGAAAGATGTATCCGTACCGCGTCAACCCGATTATGCCTATTGGAGGAAACGGTACATTTGATAATTCATCGTTATGGAGTACAGCAATTTCGGTGGACGCATGGTTTTGCTGAATGTTAAAGCATTTTTGATAAATCCTAGTAAGCACTTAWCACTGATTAACTTACGTTGGGTAAGACATCATTTATGTCATCTAAAAATTCATTCAGGACTTCTTCATGATCTTCAGGTATGTATACATTTACAAATTTTCTATCATTATTCAACCTATATTGTCTGTTCTATGTAAATTCACATATATAAATGAACATCCATGAYGTGCATAATTTAATATATTATATTATTACATATAATTTAACGGGGTTGTTAAAAAATTAATATTTTATGTTATTTTTGATTAATCAAAAATGTATTAACTTGTAATAACTTCATTACAATATTGTCAATTATTCGATTATTTGTGAGATTCTAAGGGAAGTGAGAACGACAACAGCAGTGCTCCGAAAGTGTAGGATATAAACTAAGAAATATTTTACTTACTATTAGCCGAAATAATAAAGCTAATTGAACGACCATTGTTAAAATGATTTGTATTATAAAATTAAACATTATGAACTATACAAAATGATCAAGTAGAATAAAATAAAACGTAAGATAACAAATTTAATGCATTAAAAACAAAAATAAAAATAAATTACAAGCATATTGTCATGACATTGGGCTGATCTGTCTTTAAGCTTAATAGCAATAATTAATTAATGGCCAGATATATAGGCGGTAAAAAGTATATTTTAGTAGTTTTTCTTTTTTGAAAACATTTTTATACATTTTAGTTTTTTAAACATAAGAACACCTTATATTAGTGTTGTTTTAGTACTTTAGCTACCATAGCTATTAACAAAAACCTATAAATAAAACTAAAATTAATCAAAGACAATCCAAGCAAAGACGCTCTGCCAAGGTTACCAAATAATTTCATTCGAACACAGACACCTTCGGCACGCTTTGATTTGGAAAAATTTCACGGCGGTGTCGGTGACAGTTCGATCATCAAGAGACATTTTCTACCTTGTAGGTCACACTATGATCTCCGCCAACCTCGTCGGCCGATCGCGGATCGTCCCATTTATTGTTGACCAGTGGTGGTCATGTCCAACACCTCGGTTATACGTATTTTCCGATGCATAATATTGTCCACGTGTCGGAGCATTTTTCTGTTTGAAAACCACGTGTTGTTGGTACACACCATTTATTAAGTCAACGATCGTTGTACCTAACGGTGTGTTGTTCGTGAGAATATTGACACCCTACCGTCCGTTACCGCAAATTTGCTGCGTGACCACGGTATCACAATTCTATGGAACTTTTGTGCTGCTTATGAGAAGACATGTMGTTTCAGGTTAAGTGGCAGATCCTGGGGGGCAAATGKMCATTTGCCCCCTCCCCAAACGCCCGCTCCCATAGTGACTCTATGTTTTATGTTGTAGATATTCATATTACTAGAGTTACAGCATTCAATCATTTCTGTATGGGGCATTTATTGTAAATATCTAACATAATTGTGCATTGCGATTTATACTTATTTGGTAGTCAATGCAGCCCTCACAGTGCAGCTGTTGATCAGTTTCTTGGATTGGTTAGGAGCAACTTTCAAATGAGTACTGAAGCTTGTTTTATTGTAATCATTGTGCGTTTTTTCTTCACTTCAACCACCAATTGTTTTCTGGAGCTTTTGTGCTAACTGTGGTTATTGTTGTTTGCTAGTAATTRCTACTAACATATCTAACGTATCTCTGCCATCAGTCCATGAGTGATATCAACACTAGAATCCTTTTTGTTTTAYCTCCACTACTATACCATTTATAATACATTGTCATAATGTCTGCTAAAACAACTGTCGCTGTTCAAAAAGCTCCCAATGAAAACAGTATTATCCATAGGTACCCATGATGAACCTACCTCCTCAAATCCATTAGTTACCAGCAGATAAGATGATGTGATGTATACACTATTTTCATCCCAGAATGACTATGTGYCTCTAATAAAGCACGGCAGCTACCCTAGAATTTTAATTTAAAGACTTGAAAAACTGCCTTAAACAGCTATCCTGCAGATATTAAATCTGAAAATTCAGCGCAATGTACCGAAGTTGACTTGCTCAAGAAAAATATGACAACCTTTGAAACAGATCCAACCTCTGATATTGTGACATCTGCTGTTACTTATGTTTTACATGAGAGTTTTGAATGTGAGAGGTGTTTTTCAACAATATTGTCACAATTTGTTTATTTACGCACCACAAAATAAAACAAAAAATATAGTTTATCAGAAAGCTTTAAATTGATTAACATACTGTATCATAACTGTGTGTGCCTATTAATATCAATTGAAACCTTATAAGTAGCCAGTAATTCAGGAAAACTCTGTTTTGTAAGTATCTCATTGTTGTGACGTGACTATTTYTAAGCAAAATTATGTGTGATAAATAAAACATCATTCATACCGAGCATTTTTTTTTTAAATTACGGATTCCTTTTGTTCCTTTTAAGTTTTTTTTATATAAAAGTTTAGCTTTTTTATTTATCGAATGAGGCAATACGAAGTCGAAAAAGTCCCGGTTTTCACCTAAGGTGACTTTTGCCCTGGCAACGCCGGATGGGACAGCTAGTACCTATTATATAAAGAGTCTTTTTTAWAAAGCGTCCCGTCCGAATGCACAAAGTGCTCTGAAACAATTAATATAAGTAATATTTTAGATCTCTTATTTTTATACTATTTCTATAAATCATGAGTTTTGACATATTTTATTCGATTATTATTTATATTATGAGTTAAACATTTTTAATTCGTTTTTGTGTATTACCACTTTTTTACGTCCACGTTGTATGGATACGTTTTCATTATCATGAAAGGCGATAACTGAATAGGATCCCATCCATTTGGGTTTCAGCTTTCGCTTTGGTTTGTTGTCTTTCACAAGAAGTTTATCCCCAATATTAATGTTGATTTCATGCTGTGTTTCATCATATGATAGTTTTGATTTTGATTTTTTTTTTTCAATTAGTTTATCATGTGCAATTTTGTGTGACTCTTGAAATAGTTTCCTCATTTCTAAATTATAATTATTGTAATTGTAGCTTGGTTGTGGTATCATACATAAAGAGTGTGGTATCTCTAACTGTCTACTATAAAAAATTCATAAGGATTAAATTCTGTCGTAGAATGAAATGAGCTATTACACACAAACATAGAATATGCTAAGTATTGATCCCAATTCTGTTTTTTTTATTGACAAAATGTCTTAAATATTCCAGTGCAATCTTTCTAACGTACCATTTGACTGCGGGTGATAAGCTGTAGTTTTAATTTTGTCTATTTGAAGAAGTTCACAGTATGCTGTGAATATTTTGCTTAAAAAATCTTGTCTTTGGTCAGTGACTACTGATTCCGGTATTCCATACTGACAAGCAGAATTTTAACCAAAAAATTGATGGGCAGGAGACCTWTAACGGGTATAACCATCCCTGGACGGTTGAACCACATAGTGGACACGTTGTTTCCTATTCACCAGCCACCGATTTGGCMTAATACAGAGCCTGCAGGGAAAGTCCCGGAAATACCCCGTACAGAACTTGAAGCAATAGGCACAACGCTTCCAGCAAACAAARCGCCAGGTCGTCGCAGAGTCCCAGACTTTATCCTGAAGAGGATCATTTCGAAGAACCCGGAGCTGATTTTAGGGACGCTCAACAAATGCATTGCACAGGGTTTGTTTCCCAAACCATGGAAGGAGTCTGCCCTGGTTTTATTACAGAAAGGTAACAAATCGTTGGACCAGCCTTCTTCTTATCGGCCCATCTGCTTCATTAACACTATCGGTAAGCTGCTTGAAAGAGTTATTAAAGGGAGACTGGAGATACACCTAAACTAGACCAACGGGATCAGTAATCAGCAATTTCTTTAGAAAAGGACGCTCTACTATAGATGCCATAGAAACGGTAATGGAAGTGGTCAACGGGGCGGGTACAGGTCCGCTTTACAAAAGAGAGTTATGTGCCATGGTGTGCCTCGATGTGGCAAATGCCTTTAACTCAGCTCCATGTGTCAAGATTGTGGATGCCCTGGTGGAGAGAAGAGTGCCTGAGTACCTAGTTGTAATCTGAAGAACTTCCTAACTAATAGAACACTTATATACGGTGGTGCAGAGCGTCGGCAGTAACCAGCGATGTCCCCTAAGGCTCGTGGCTCGGCCCGATATTATGGATTATAATGTATGATGATCTATTGCGCACGGAACTGCAGGGAAACATCCGTGGCATGTCTAGTTCAACTCCGATAGCGTTTGCTAACGGCTATTATTGCAACGGGACATAACACATCGCTGCTAGAGGAAACTGTGAACAAATCTCTAAAGACGGTTGCAAAATGGATGAAGGATACGGGTCTCACGCTCTCTGTTAATAAAACAGAAGCGATAATGCTGACCACCAAGCGCGGCTACACTCCTCCGAGGTTCTTCCTTGAAGGTACACTACTAGAGCTGAATGAACGAGTATGCTATCTCGGAGTGGAGTTATCYAAAACGCTTGGGTTTGGGTAGCATTTGGAGTGTGTAGCRGATAAAGCCGCGAAAACAATTAATTCATTGTCAAGGCTAATGCCRAACATCGGTGAACCAAAACAAAAAAAGCGGCAGCTTCTTATGACTATCGCACAAAGCCAGCTTCTTTACGCTGCACCTGTATGGGCCTCGGCATTAGTTTATTCAAAATATGTAAACGTGTTAGCGAGACCACAGAGACTGATGGCCATCAGAGTAGCGTCGGCACATCGGACAGTATCCACCAATGCGATACTGGTGGTGTCCGTTTGGTCCCATTATATCTTGTGGTGTCTGAGAGGTGCAAGATCTACTCAGCAAAACGAGATGGTTCCGTGCCACCCTTAAAGGAGCAGCTAAGGGAGGAGTCTTTGCGTAAATGGCAAAGGGAATGGCGGAAGTCAGCAACAGGCAGGTGGACYAAAAGGCTCATTCCGGAGGTACTACTTTGGGTGTCTAGAACATTTGGAACCATAAATTACCACATCACCCAATTCCTAACCAGACATGAGTGCTTCGGTGAATATCTAAACAAATTTAAGAAACGGGAGACTGCGGTGTGCTATGATTGTCGGGCACCATTGGATGACGCCGAGCACGCGTTGTTCACGTGTGATCGTTGGTGGAGGCAGCGTCGTGGTTTGGAGATGAATATTGGCAGAGAATTTTCACCAGTCAGCTGTAACAACAACGTTTATAGTTATTATTTATATTAATTTATATTATAATTTATTATTTATAGTTACTATCGAGGGAGAAATGGGAAGCAATTACCAGTATCGTTACGCAAGTCTTGAAGACCAGGGAGGAAGATGAACGTCAACGACAGCGGGACCMGCAATAAATTTTTAGTAGTTAAGGCATAAAGCATTGTGGCCCGAAGGGCGGTTATAGGGGATAGAGCCCCTCATTGTTGTATATTATATCTGTAAGGACTGGGAATGGGAGACTAGCCCAAACCCAGTTCAACTTGGTGATGTTGTTGTTTATAAATAAACGGCACTCGGGCACCTAGGGGTAGGATTACCGGAAGGGAAAGTTCCCCCTAGGTGTCTACGGAGCGCACATGCAAAAAAAAGGTTAGGTTAGGCCTAATCTCCCCAGACAGGACCCACCTTGACGCGGTGGGGTGTCCGTAAGGTTGGCCCCCCGACTTTGTCCTACTGACTTCGGACTTKTGCCAATATTTAGCAACCTTTTAGCAACTTTTAGCAACCAACGTGAAAAAATTTGCAATCTATTACTTCGTGCTAAAAATCGGCATAATAAAATTGGGGGGGGGATTGGGTAAAAAATGGTGCAACTTCACGCAGCCCCCCGACTTTGTCCCACCGACTTCGGACTTGTGCCAATATTTAGCAACATTTTAGCAACTTTAAGCAACCTACTTGAAAAAATTTACAACCTCTTTTTTACCAACTTTATCGGGAAACAAGTTCGGGGGGACTAGCCCCCCGACTTCGGACTTGTGCCAATATTTAGCAACCTTTGAGCAAAAGGTTAATGTCAATTATGAACTCTGAAGTTTTACTTTTTTACTCTTTGACTGTTGGTGTATTTAAATAATTTTGTAAAATGAAAATAAACATTGTTTAATATGAATTTAAAAAATTGAATTAAATTGAATGCATTGTAAAAAAATCAACCTTCGATTGAAAATGCTCATTAATTAAATTTGTATGTACACGGCCAAATGTGGACTTGCGTTTAAGCATTTTGATGTTGATATTTTAATTTTCTTTTGCAAGTCATTATGCGTTTCCCAGCGTTCATCTGATCTCCATATATGTGATATGTAGTGTTCAGAATGATACTCAATCACACCGTACAACGCATATCTGAAAATTAAATTGGTGCCTATACTATAATAATGATAAGTTGAAGACGTTATRATACGAATATTACGTATTTAAGTCATAAAAATTAATAGTTTTTGAATAACTATAATATTCAAAGCATATGACAACAATTTCATATTTAATAATTTTAATTTTAAATAGTTAATTTTGGTATATAATATATTTTTAGTAAAAATTTTAAGCAAAAGGAGATCATCAGTAAATTGTATARTATTGAGAAGAACGAATATTATATTATTGTGGTTATTACTTAGAACAAAATTAAATACCAGGATATCATGTAAAAATAGAAATGTATTAGAAATTGTATAYATACTTGACATTATTGGCTTGTAACTGAGTTGGAAACATCGAAAGTGGAATTCTTTGATTTTCAGGAAAAATGTCTGTCTCAATCAAAAGGTGCTCCTTTATTGTTCTTCTTGAAGACAATGATTTATAACAATAACAGCATTCATACACCTGTTCCTTTGTGTAATCATTCAATGATTTCTGAAAATTCTTAAAGTCTTTAAATCTTAAAATTAACGTTGCGCTTTCAATATCTTTATTATCATTAGGTATTACAACCATCTGTTGTGCACCGTATTTTTTCAATCGCGGAAGGAGCGTTTACAAATAATTTCGTTGCAACAAACGATACATTACATCCAGCATCTATCACTTTTATACGAGAAATATCATTAGAGCTCTTAAAAATCGGCTTTAACAATTCAAGTCGATCTGTGTATGTTTTTTTTTGTTGGTCCATATAAAGCAAGACTTTTGCAAAAATTCAACATGTTGTTTTCACTAGAGTCTTTCACTAAAAGTCTTATAGGTTATAAAGTCTGTATATGCCATAGTAATTATTACTGCTAATGCATCAAATGGGTACGTGTTTATAACTATATATCTTTGTTTGGCTATATGCAATGGTGTTGCTATATTTCCACTGATAAGCAAGGTATTCAAGTTTGACCGGGTGTTTTTTTTTTTTTGCAATATTCTGTCAATTTAAGGAGTTTTTTCCATGTATGTTATTTTCCTTTTTCTTTTATATTTACTTTCAAAATCTTTGGGAAAAACTGGAATATTAGGCTTTCCTAGGCCACCCCAATTTTCAAATTCATCAAGTGATTTTAATGAAGTTGAATCATTGCTGGAATTAAATGTAGTCAGTGGATCAATTCCTTCTAAATGTTGGTGCGTTTCATTTGGCGAAATGGACCATAATCTTTTGATKTCTGACGAATCAAAGCTTACATTTAGTATTGATTTTACCTTTTAGATTGATTCAATACATATATCTTCTGACATTGGATTTAGTTTATCCATTTTCGTTGACGATGGCCCTACTGTCTCTGAATCTGAAATAATATCATCTGTTTGAAAATCCATATCCATGTCAGATTTTTTACTCAACTCTAAGTGATTATTTCTTAGCTGACTACTTCGAAATAAAATTGAGCTGCCTTCAATTRATTTTAGATGTTTGGAAACAAACCGATCAGCAGTAATTGGTTTCATTTCGAAACAWAGAATACGTGATTTTAAATCGGAAAAATCACTCTCCACTGATGCTGAAATGCAATCATATATGGAGTTTGAAATTTGTCATTCATAACTCCAGTCCAGATCGGAAAATGCTTGCATAAACGTAAAATTGTTTTGGATAAGTTTGGAATAAAGTATGCAGAACACGATTTCCTTTAATTTTTGATTGGGTAATTGCAATTTGTTCAATATCCTTCAAATAATCTTTAATTYCACCAATAACTTCCTCGTAATCATATTTTTCTTCATCTAAAACACTTTCTTCTACTTCAGAATCAATATCAATCATATATTCATCATTTATACCAATTCCTCTTATATTGTCCAAAAGCATTTTTCTTCCAGACTCCGCTAGTGTTGGATTGTTGTTGCACCATCCATCTGTTTCACTCATAGAAACTGTTAATAAAGCTTTGAGAAGTTCAGTGAAGCTTTCAAAAGAAACTGAAGTTAATAGAAGTCGTAAACACCTTACGTAAAAGTTTTTTAAATTGTTGTTATATTTATATTAATTTAATATGCTTCTTAACTTTTTATTTTATATTTAGTATTGATAGTCATTATTTGTTAATAATAAGTGGTTAGGTTTTTATCTATTTTAAATAAAAAATTTTGTATTTCTAAGTTGGCATAACCGATCTTCCGAAATTTGATTTTGATGATATTTTGCTGTTATCAAAATCGGGAAATCTGTCCCAGCCACAAGTAATGTGTTTTGTGTTTTTAAATTAGGTTGTTAACACTGTAGTCGCGCCCATTTCATACAACAGCAACCGGTCACCATTGTTCCAACGCCTGCGTTTCGGCTCCGAGTTCTTGACTCATCTTACCGTAACACCTGTTGCTGAGTGTGATTTCAATTTTTGTTTGTGTTAGTCTTTGATCTAATTTTATCCTAATAAACAAATMTTAGAAACACTTGATTGAGATTTGTTGATTTCAATTGATTATATTACCGTTTTCTATTTAAATTTTTTTTTCTGATTTTGATCGTATCAATTCACTCATCAATCATGGAAATTAATGTGAKTAAAGTTAAATTTATTTAAACTCAAACTTATTTAATCTATTGCCCTAATTGTCTTTGTTACTTTTATACAGCCATACGYGAACCTACATGATWCATTGAAAWCCTATCGGCGCTCACACAAGGTATTTTCACACATATTATATAAAACAAATATACTATATCCAGTAAGATAACACGCCGATTCTACGCAACCTCTCGTGTCACTTTTMTATTGTAACCAGCTAGGTTAGTTTAGCCATATAGCAGAGTATCACGTAAGGCCCGTTTCACATGGACGCGTATCATACGCTACGTACCTATCGTACACGCGTATTTTTAGTTTACATAAAGTTCATATGCGTCATAATAACGAGGGAAAAGTTTCACCGTCGGAGTGACACATATGCATTTAACTAATGTAATTGAAAACGTTTGCGTAMGTTACGTCACGTATGATACGCGTCTATGTTAAATGGCCCTAAGAACGCGCAAAATAACCGATTTAGGTCGGCTTGCRGCGCGCTCCTTCGCTTAACACGGGGAAGCWTCGTTTCAGAAAGCCCAACCTGACCATCAAAGGGTGTCAAATACCAGTTAAGCGTTCGATAAGATACCTTGGGGTCCAACTGGACACCAGGTTATCCTTTGTCGAACATATTAGCACCGTGGCTATGGGGGCGAGAAAGGCAGCWACTGCTTTAGGGAGGCTTATGCCAAATATCGGTGGCCCCTCGCAGTCGAAGCGCAGCCTATTGTCCAGCGTCATACACAGCCGTTTGCTGTATGGCGCAACAATTTGGTCGGATCGTGTGACCAGTATCAAGAAGTGTACAAACCTTCTCCAGCAAACGCAGAGGTGCGCTGCCCTAAGAGTGGCCAGGTGCTACCGCACCGTATCGGATATGGCCTCCTTGGTATTGGCTAGGATGCCCCCTGCTCAATTGGTGACAGTAGGCAGGAAGAAGAGGGCGGATGCCAAGAGATTGGGTACGATAATCCCGAGAAGGGACGAAATTGAAGAGATCCTTCACATCTGGCAGGCCCTATGGGAGTCGACACACAAATCCTCGTGGACGAGACGGCCCCAGATAGCAACAAAATATTAATATGATATGAAAAAATATTTTCAATGTAATAATAATGATAATATAAATGTTATTTTTCTGCTTTTTTTTAAGTACAAAAATGTTATAATAATATTTATAAAATAATGGTTGGCCACTAATATTTTTATATTATTCTCATAATAATATTTTTATATTGTTCTCAAAATAATATTTTTATATTAATCTCATTATAATATTTTT